TATTTTCGTGAGACGATGGCTGTAGAAATTGTGACAAAGCGCTTGTTGCCCGTTTAATACTGTATATTTTGGTACAAATTATTATATTTATGAAAAAGAATTTTTTTCATATTTTGGGTATAATAAAGTTTGATATGCACAAATTGTAATTTATTTGTTGATAGTGAATGTGGACAAAATACCTTACGTAAACCTCAGGCTTTTTCAATACTTAAAACTAGGAAATGATAGATGGCAGTTGAAAAGAGCGCGGAAATCGAGTTGATTACGACGAATGCCAGGTTCTCCAGAGCCGGCCTTCGGCACCTTGTCGACGGGGTGATCGATTTCGTTGCTGGAATAGCAGGTAGGATTCCCCCAACAAAAATGTTGGATCTGTTGTAGTAGTGTCGAATTTTAGCTGGAGTCGCATGCGTATATTCCGGACAACCTTTGGACACTGTAAAGGTGAAGATGCAAACATTTCCAAAGCTTTACACAGGCATGAAAATGTGCCTCGCTGAAACGTTCAGGCAGGACGGCGTGAGGGGCCTTTATGCAGGTAAAATTTATACATGGCATAGCCATGCCTTTGTTTCGCGCTTTGTCCTGGCAGCAATTCTGTCTTGCGTTGCGCAGGAAAATAAGCTGATTTTCAGGCTCTTCAAGAACAGTCTTAAGGCAGGACTTTTATTAGTGACAGATTTATATTAAGTATCTGAAGAATCGACTGAACATATAGTGTAATAAATGTCAAGTACACTCGTATTTACGCTTTACATTGTGAGACGTTCTGTATGGAAAGGGTAGAAAAGCTAATATTTCAGTAGCTGTCGAAATTGACACTGCGTTAAACCGACGACACCTTTTAATGTTATAAAGTTATAGAGTTATAACAAAGTTGGTGATGATTGGTTCAGAGGAAAGAGAATTTTTTGGCATTCTTTTGATCATAGAATTTTGTAATAAAAATTTATTTTACTAATTTGATCGAAGTCTGAGGAAACGGTGAATTAGCTGTGAGGAGCTTAAAACGTTGTAGCCACTCAAGACATCCAACCATTGGATTGGACAATTGCAGAATAAGTTAGTAGGTTGCATTAGAAGTTAGAATATCGGGTTCCAACGCAACGCGGTTTTCTCTTACTGATAATTCTCTTGAATAAGGAATTCATCACACTGTTGTTTGGAGGAACCAGATGAAAAACGAGGTGCAAAACTTAGACCTGCGAATAATAGTTACAGCAACGTGCTTTGGTGTTGTCATGCGAAGGCTTATGAGGTATAATTCAGTACTGTCTGATGTACGCTTTACAGTTGCATTTCGCCTTGACACGCTTGATACCAGACTAAAATGCAACACAAGTTATAAAAAACGTATCTTAAAGTTTGATAGACGTTTTTCACAGTTTTTTGACGGTAATCGACTTGCTACCGGTTTTGTTTACCGCTGATTCGTTGCAGCATATTAGGACGAATTCATTTATTCATTGAAAAACAGTAATTAAGGAAAACTGATGAAGACAGCGCAATCAAATTTTTTTGTTTGAGTTCGTTTGCATAGGTCTGATAGAATCTTAGATAAATTTTTATTATTTTAGATACATTGAATTTCTGAAGTATATGAAATGCTGGAAGTTGTATCATTTTGCTTTGTCACTGATACCCAGTATATACCTGAAGCTGCGCAGTATATGTTTCTTTCTTACTGTCCATTGAATGCTTTTAATGAATTTTGGAGCTCATGCGATGATTGTTGTTGCTTTTTGCTTTACCGCTCAATGCTTTAGGGATAAAAACAGCCAGCAAATGATGTTCGCGTTCAACAACTGCGGGAGTCTTTTGAGCCTCGACACGAATTTTCCTTTCCCTTTACCATGTTATGCGTTGAAACAGTATTTGATATCCCACATAACCAGTACATTGTTTTGGTGCTCCTCCGTATGTTTCCATTGTGAGTTGTTGCAGGTTCGGTTCCAGCTCTAGCAGCGAACGTCGCAGAAAACTCAGTGGTATTTCTCGCCTATGGTTTTTGCCAGAAGTTTGTCGCCTTGATGTCTAGAAAGGAGCGGGTCGCTGATCTTCATCCGGTCGAAAGCGCTTGTGCTGGCTCTTTAGCGGCAGTCTTCGCAACGATGGTACTCTGTCCAACAGAGCTGATCAAATGTCGTCTCCAGTCCGTACGAGAAACGAGTGGCGGAGCTTGTCGAGACATGTATTACTTGTTTTTCGTCAGCTGATCTGTTTTATTCTGTTGTCTCAGAGGTGCTTACTCGATAACACGGGAAATTCTGTGTAAAGAAGGTTTCAGAGGCTTATTTCATGGACTTTTGCCAACAGTCGCCCGCGAAGTTCCAGGATACTTCTTTTTCTTTGGTAGCTACGAATTGAGCCGGTATTTAATGGCCCAACCAGGCCGATCGAAGGAGCATATCGGTGAGTAGTATGCCTGCCTGACGCGGAGTGGGATTCGCATAAAGCGGCATTTAATATTCAATCGTTCTTCAATTATGGGAAAGAGTTGTTTTAGGCAGGTGAGTAAATAAGTAACTAAGTAAGTAACTAGTATGGGTAGGTAGGTGGATAAGATAGTAAATAAACATGCTTGCAAGTAAGTAAATAATCAGACAAGTATGTATGTAAATAAACAAGCACGTAAGTAAGCAGTTATACATGTTGGTAAGTAAGCAAACGAGTGATTAATTAATGACACATGTAAGTCACTAGGTATGTAGATAAGTAAGTAATTATGTAAGTAGATAAGTGAACTAAGAAGTTGATAAGTATGTCGAGAACTAAGGAGACACCTAAGTAAGCAGGTAATTTTGCGAGTATGCCTGTATATAGGTAAGTTTGTTATCAAATAAATAAATAGTAAAGTAAATTTTTAATTGGATAATTCAGGTGGTAGGTAGGAAAATAGGTATTACAGAATTTAAGTAGAAGGCATGTAAGTAAATATGCAAGTAAAATGGAAAGTGCTGAATTATGTGCAGAAGAAGATAAAAAATAGCTTGATAATGAAATAAATATGCGTGTAAAGAAATAGAGACATTTAGTTAAGTAAATATGAAAGAAACTAATTCATTAGATGCAAGCAAAGAAGAGGGTTAATGAGTGACTAAGGAGATAAGTTAGCAGCTGAAGATGTGATTATGCATGCAAGAACGTAAATAAGTAGGCAAGCACCTTATTATATACAGAAACCGACTTTCATGTTGTTTCAGCGTCATGTCTTAGGTAACTCGCAATTATTTCTGGGGCAGTATCTTCACTGTTCATAACAGAAGTGCGATGTGATATGACTAATGAGCAGATGTTCTACCTTCACAGATGGTAAAAACATGACCAACTACCACAGTACGAAGTAAAGCCAATCAATGTGCTATGAATGATATGCAGTTGATGCGGTCCTAGAAGTTTAAATATTTAAAGTTAGTGATGGCAAGCTGATGGTGGAGATTGAACATACTAATCAGTCAAGCGACTGCTAAGTGCTGAAGCTGACTGCTTTGTGGTAATAAAGAAAAACTGAGTAGTAATACATAACAAGGTTTTTATGTCTCTACGTGTAGCTTAGATATGCTTGTGAAGGCTGATGCTGACAACCCAGGGCAGAACAGAACAATTGAAGCTTTTTTTAGAAGGACTTCTGTTGTAATTAGACTCAACAAGCTTCGTACTATGGCAGTTAGAACTGATTTTGCTTGTGAACTACACTGTTTAGATGGAAAGACCACATGCCCTGGATTGGACACCCATTTCGACACGATGATGGAGAATTTCATTTTGGATTCATGTTAAAGACGCCACTGACTAAGTGAATCACGCATACTGTAAATACTTGTCTTGGTTGCGCCTTCCCATCTAGTCGATCGAGCTTGAAAAATGGCACAGGGTTGACTTCACTTGAGAAATTCTTGAAGTTGCCTCCCTGCAACCTTCAAGAAAAAGCGGTGTGAGAATTAATGAATAAATTGATTAATGATAAGTTGTTTTCGTTGTTAGTTTCTGTAGGTAACTGGATTGATTGCTTTGTATATGACAGTATGTTTTTTTGATTTCTCTGTTATACTGTAAGTGCAACGAAGCTGATGGTTGACTTGTGAACACAAAACAATTTTTCATTTTTGATTTTATAGGCGTCCTTAAGTTATGCATTATTTCGGCTGCATGATTTCGATTGTACATTTATGCTGCTGTTGTAATAAGTTGTAGTCGGCGACTACTTTGGCATTGCGCTGGCTTGAGGTACATATCAACGAGTCAGGTGGAAGCTGATCATCCTGATAGTATTACTGCATTGCAGTTCATGTAACAAATCATCAGTAATATTACCAGTGTATGATAGTTTAATTAACGAACTCTTTCAATATATATATTTTTTATAAATTAAAAGAGTATATAATATATATAGGTCTTGGTATGGTAGACTACGTTCTTCACAGCTCTGCGCCTCTCTTAACTTCGTGAACCAGACGATGCGATTATAAGCTTATCATTGACTTGTGT